TCTATAATATACGTATATATTTATGTTACGAATGTATGAGTCAAACTTGTTTAATAGTTATGTCATATCATTTATTTATTTATGTATTTGGTGTTTGGATGGATGAACTATTCAGATTCAGCTAATTGGATTGCATTAATTGAATCGAACGTTACATACCTGCAAGGATTTATTTATTTATTTATTTTCTATTATTGGACCACCTTTCACATCTAGTAATGTGCTGGATTTATTTGTCAAGACCATATGTGAAATTAATGTATTTGTGTATGTATCGATCCCACAAATTATAAATCCAACCCGTCTATTTTATTTTATTTTTTCTTCTCCCCTGCTTAGGTCTAAATGTGCATGCACACATGAAAATATTGTTGAATAATATATATGCCCTTACACACAAGTTTATACCTATTTATAATTACTAGATAATTATTAATTTATTATTTGTAAATTTGAAATAGGAAGTTAAGGGAAATAAAAACCTACTTGACTAAGTAGGTTCACCGGCTAAATGAGGGTTGTTAAAAACCTAATCACCATACTAATTAGCTCTATGGCAAAAATTACTTTATATTTTCTATAATTCGATGTACAAAAATGTTAAAAACCTAATCACCATATATTTTGTACAGAAACGGCACGAATATCAAGGTCACATCCACATGTCCCAAAGTCAATTGTTTCAAAATTACAGGTACAATTACTTCTCCCTAAATTATTAGAAATGAACACTCTAGTTTAGGAACTATGTGTTTGTCATTGTTTGTGCCACGTGCTTATAAATAAATTTTTATCACAATTTTTCTATTATTTTGATTTTTTTATTTTTTGTTGAAATTGTACATAAATTTACGGTCTTTTAAGTAGGTTGCATTTCGAAATATTGGGTTAAAAGACATATATTACCTTGATGAACAATTTTTTGGCCAACCAATTTTACTCTTTTCGTCACCGTCCAACTTCCATGCACGGGTGCAAGTCTTTAATCTCAACATTAAATTTGTAATTTCGAAAATATTAAACTTGTTGTTTTTCTTGCAATTAAACTTTTAAACTACTATAATATTTCACGGGCCAGCGTAAACAAATACATTTCATAATATCTTAAATAATTTCTCTTTTATTAGGAAAAAGAAACAAACAAACAGAACACATACAAAACTGACAAATTTGTACACTGATCAATTCTCGAGAGCCATGTGAATTGTAGGTGATTAATTTCTGGAAATTGCCATGTGAAAGTTTGAAATGCATCCATGGACTTTTTTCCTTTAGAGGTGCTATTAATACATTTCACTGTTTTGTTGAAAAGTTTATATAATGTGACTCCAATTTTCAGTTAGCATAGCCTAGTTGTTGTGAATATATATTAAATTATTGATACCTACATATATATATAGGTGATGGGTCTACTTCCAGATCTGGAGTAAACCGGTTGTTGTGAGCTCCGATCTGTTTGAACCGCCTTTAAATCGTGAAGCTCTGTGATGTAGAGCTGTGATGCATGTAGAAATGCATAGAATGTGGGGGAGAGGGCTTCTCTCAGAGAGCAGCAGCAGCAGCAGCAGCAGAAAGATGGAAAGTGTATAGAATGAGTAGAGGTTGTGTTTAGGGTTACCCCATCCCCTTTATATAGAGGGAACTGCATGCTTGAAGTACCCAAAATGCCCCGGTCGGTTTACCTGAAGTGTCCAAAATACCCTGGACGGTTCACATTCCATCTACCTCCTAGTCAGCTCAAGATTCTTTATTATCCAATTACTGCCACTAGATCATGCTCTTTATTGATACCCATCCATAGGAGTGAGCAAAACTGAGCCGAAGCCGAAAAATTGAGCCAAATCGTGCAATTCAGTTCGGTTCTGTTCGGTTTTTTTAATGTCAAAAAAATCCAGTTCGGTTTTTTCCTATATGGTGCGGTGCAGTTATAAATATTCATAAGTTCGGTTTTCGATTTTGTTCGGTTCAGTGCGGTTTTGCACTGAATCGCATCAAATTGAATAAAATGTATAAAAAAACTGCGATAGAATCAAAAATCGAGTCGAACCGTGCATTTTGTTGCGGTTCAATTTGGTTGTTTTAGTGTAAAAAAAATTGATTTGATTTCGGTTCAATTTTTTCTAAGTTGTGATGTGGTTCGGTTATTTTTTGCTAGATTCGGTTTTTGAACTTTTGCGATTCGGTGCGTTTTTTCACCGAACCCACACCGTTGCTCACCCCTAGNCAATGGTATTTTATATTAAAACAATTACACTTGGATATATGTCATTACATCAATCTATAAATAAACTTGTGTACCCAAGATATTTAGGTATAAAAAATTAAATTAAAAAAATATATTAATTCCATTAGTGAGTCCAACATCATTGCTATATATTTTCAAAGCTATTCTTTTAGACAAGGTTGCGAGAAGTACAATATGTGAAAGATTCTCATTCTTTTGCTAAAAAAAAACCCCTTTTTCTTCTTCTTGCTCATTCAAAATTAAAAAGTTTCTTAGACTTCTTTAATTTTTATCCTGGTGAAATAAGTGAAATTAGTGTTGCATGTTTAAACTTAGCCAAAGAAAAGAACAGTGTTCCTTCAATTTAATTGAAATCTTCTAACGGCAAGTATCATATCATTTGAACATAATTCTTATCCAAAATGATGAGAAATGGTAAGACTATGTTTGGTAAAACTAGCTAATAGGTGATAAGCTAGCTTATAGTTTATCAGTATTTTTTCAGCTTATAGCTTATAACTTATGACTTATAATTTGGTAAAATTAGCTGAGCTAGCTGAAATAAAAATTTCAACGAGTTTATTTAAAAAGCTACCCAAAGAAGCTTATCAAATAAGGTCGGGCTTTTTAAAAAAGTTCGTCCTATCAAATGGAGTTTATTTAAAAACAGGGAACTTATAAGCTAGCTTATTTGTCTACAAAAAATAGCCTAAATTAACGCTGCATTTTCCTACACTACAGAAGTCAATGCACATCCTTTTTGTAACTCCATTTGTTAGCATAATATTTGCACTAATTTTTATTGAAGACAACTAATTAAGCATTAAGTGTTAGTCAAATGAGTGTAAGATTTTGTTTTCTTTTCTCAATTTCCCAAACCATTTCTTACATTTTCCAACCAAAATACAAATTTTCCAAACAATTCCAAACCAATTGGATTATTTCTCAACCATCATTCAAAATCTTCATCTATAAATATGGTGATGAGATGAAGGAAAAAAAATGCACCAAATAAGAGAAGGAAAGAAGAGAAGTGAAGGGAAAAGAAGAAAGAAAGAAAAGTGAGGAAAGAAAAAAAAATATATATATAGTGTGAAAAAAAAAATATAGAAAAATTATCATATAGATAATTTTATTTCTAATTTTAAGTGCTCAATTCTCGACTTCGATCCAGTTCGCCGGAGCTCGTAAATCTGGTGTGCTACAGATTTAGAGACGTTTACCGTTGTATCTTTGGGGAAGTTACGCCTGAACCGTTAGCAGCCACACGGGGCGTATTCTTCTTGCGGAAAGAGTTTTACTCGCCTCGGCTTTAATCTTTCCGTTTTAATTTTTAATTAATTTTCAGTTCAATTGTAATTTTCTATTTTTTTAGATTATTTGTAAGAACTGAAAAATACATATCAGTTCGTAGGATTCCCGTGTAATTTTGATACCCGATTGATAACATTAAGGATATATTTATCATACTTCTATAACAAAATACTTACTTATTACATAGAATATTGTTTAATTGTCTATATTATATTTTCGAGCATAACGATTCAATTTGAAAATTTACATATCTGTTGAAAAAGTATAAGTATATTATTTTTTAGAATATAAACTTCAATTTGAAAAGTTGTATATTTGTTGAAAAAGTATAATTGTCTAATAATAATATTTCTGTAACATTTGTATATATATACTCTATACAATACAATATAGGCAGCATATCAAGATAATTGAATATGAGATCTACATAAGAAGAAAATCAAGATTAACTTGTATTTAGTCAGTACAATACAGTGTAGCATATGAAGATAATTGAATGTGATATCTACAATTTAAGAAGAAAATCAAGATTAAATAAACATTATGTCTTAACTTTTAACTCATCAAATGAAAGTTACATGTAAATAATATTTTTGTACATGTGACAGATGATCAATAAAAATGCATTAGATGAGAGATCTGTTTGGTGCTGGCTCTTAGCAGGCAAGACGACAACCCTCTAAACTCTTCGCAAAAGAGTAACAACACAAAAACTAATCAATCCTTTTAAATAACTGATTTTGTTGCTCTGATTAGAGAAAATTATCACATTAAGCCGTGCAACAAATCTCCTCATTAAGTTTGAATAAGAATATTTTATATGTCCCTATTATGACTTCACCAAATTCCTTATTAGCCCAACATATTTTTTTTTTTTTTATAAATATGTATATAATTTCTAGTAAAATAACAAAACAAAAAACTCGATATTTAATAGTATATATTTTTTTAAATAAGAATGGTGGACCCTCCAAAAGTGACTCAGGCTGTGATGCATGATGCAAGAACTTTGTCCAAAAACAATTGAAAACCGATCAAAAATAAAAATAAAATAAAATAATTGAAAAGCACAACCCCAATCCAAGAAAACTACTACTACTAGTACTTTATTTACAAACTATTTGTTAATTAACTTTAATCCCATTCATCATAATCTCGAAATGGGCCCCACCTCCACAATCTGCTATAAATCCTCTGCTTTTCTGTTTTCTCTTTCCCCCATTTGCACTTCACTGTCAGCTCCACTCCATCTCTCTACTTTTCCAAACTCTCTCACTCTCTAAAGCTCTCTCTTAAAAATACACACGCACAGGGAAAAGGATAATAGACAAAAAAACCTACACACAGATAAGATCCCCATTTTTTTCTACCTGGAGAAAGAATAAAGCTCGTGCAGGATCACAAATTCAAAAGCACGCTTTTTTTTTTTGGTTCTCTCCCCCTTTTGGATTTGCAGTCTATAATGGTTGACGTGGACCGGAGGATGGCCGGTCTGAACCCGGCCCATATGGCCGGCCTCCGCCGCCTCTCTGCTCGCGCCGCCGCGTCGGCCCCCTCCACGCCCCTTCCCCCTCGCAACAGCCTCTTCTCCTTCACCCCCCTCGCGGACAAGGTAATCGCCCACCTCAAGGACTCCGGCGTCCCGGTCCGGCCCGGCCTGACGGAACCGGAGTTCGCCGTGGCCGAGGCCGAGTTCGGCTTCGCCTTCCCGCCGGACCTTCGGGCCGTCCTCTCGGCCGGCCTGCCCCTGGGAGCCGGCTTCCCCGACTGGCGGTCCTCCGGCCCGGCCAGACTCCACCTCCGGGCCTCCATCGACCTCCCCATCGCTTCCATCTCCTTCCACATAGCCCGAAACGCACTCTGGTCAAAATCATGGGGCCCGAGGCCGTCCGACCCGGAAAAAGCCATGAAAATAGCCCGAAACGCCCTGAAACGGGCCCCGCTTCTGATACCCGTTTTCAACCACTGCTACATCCCCTGCAACCCTTGCCTCGCCGGAAACCCTGTCTTCTTCGTCGACGAGAGCCGGATTTTCTGCTGCGGCTTCGATCTGTCGGATTTCTTCGACCGGGAATCCGTTTTCCACCAAACCGCCGGCCCGAACATCCTCTCCAAACAGCGGTCGATGACTGAGAAATCGGCCGGATCGTCGACCAATTTCTCCCGGAGGAGTCTCGACGCGCTTTCCGGTGGGCGCACGCCGCGGTGGGTGGAGTTCTGGAGCGACGCCGCCGTGGATCGGCGGCGGAGGAGCTCGAATTCGTCGTCCTCGTCCTCCTCATCGCCGGACAGGTACATAGAGATGCCGAGATCCGAGGCGCCCGAGTGGGTCGACGGGTACGTGAGCCGGATCGGGTCGGTTCTGAGAGAAGGCGGGTGGGCGGAGTCCGACGTGTCCGAGATCGTGGGCGTGCCGGCGTCGGGCTTCTTCGACGGCGAGATGGTGATGCTCGACAATCAGGCGGTGATGGATGCCCTGCTGCTGAAAGCGGACCGGTTCTCGGATGTTCTGCGGAAGGCCGGGTGGAGCTCCGACGAGGTGTCGGATGCTTTGGGGTTCGATTTCCGGCGGGAGAAGGTGAAGAAGCCGGCGATAAAGTTGTCACCGGAGCTGGCGGAGAGGATCGGAAAATTGGCTGAAGCGGTGGACCGGTCGTCGTCGTCATCATAGCCTGAACCAGCAATTTGGCAAACATCGAGATTCTTTCGGCTTTTGTGTTTTTTTATTTTTTCTTTTTCCTTTTTTTTTCATGTTTTTCGGGCCTCGGGTTTGCTTTATTGTCTCAAATTGGATAAAAACTTTGGTTTAGGAAATTGGGAAAGTTAAACACGGTTTTGATGCTAATTTTTATTTTAGTAGTAATGTACAAATGTAGTATATAACTTACCTGTGGATGAATTCAAATGAGAAATATTATAATAATACAATAGTAACATTTTGCTCATTTATGTTTGCTATGTGATTGTGTAGTTTGACATGCACAACTGTAAACGAGTTTAGTAAAGTTGAACTTAAAAACAATTACACAAAAAATTCTAAATGTTACTAAGCTCAACTCATTAATTAAATATTTTAAATAATTTTGGCTCGTTAGCCGAGCTTATAAACCGTTCCTTTTATTTAACAAGTCTACTATTTGTTAATTGTTGGATGCAAATTTTATTCTTTTCCATCTTTATACTTTTGTTCACCAAACTTTGTTGTTTAGCAAAACAATAAAGTACTTTTGAGGTAAAAAAAATTACATTTTCAGATTTTCTTCTGTACGCATGAAATTTTTTAACAAAAAAGAAGTACAATTTGCAAATTGAATGCTTTGTGTTTCTAATTTCTATATTCCTCTCCTCAAGATTACGTACTATCAAAATAATCTTGTTGTTTAAATTAATTGTGCAAATGAACCTCTACTTTTAGTAAATTTAAATTAAGTAATAGCTCCTGCGGTCAATGAATTTCAACTACCAATTAAATTTAGTATTTGTGTTTAGTTTAGTGAGCTCTTTTTCTCTTTTCCTCTTTTTAAGTTCAGAAGAGGTAGGAGTCTAAACCGGGCACAGTATTCGAACCGGGGTCGTCCACGTGTGCCCCTATGTGGGTCCCATGTCGGATGCTTGGTGGTTTTGAAACTTGAAGCTAAGCGACACAGTACAGCGTCGTTTTCGTCCTCAGTCATTAATACAATGGCAAGAGAGTCGTCTCTTTTTATTTTTGGTGCAGCCAAAGGGGACTGGCGGACCCTCGGGACTTCATAATTGTTTCTAATTAATTATTAATAGTATAAATAAATATAAGTACACGTGTATAATGGCCAAGTAATAGATTTATGCTCCATTCAAATAAATTGAAAAACTAATAAAAAGAACTCTTGGCATTGAAACAAAATAGTGATGGAGAAGAGATTAGCTTCAGAGATGTTAAATGGTCTTTGGTTCGATGGGCCGGCCCGTTTAGCCCGAAAAAAAAGGGTTAGATTCTTTTATTAGTAGTCCGTTTAAATTAGGGCTTTTTAGGCTCGAACCGTTTAGCCCGAACGGGCTAGTCCGGAACCCGCTAGGACTGACCCGTTTAACTAGGATTGGGCGGTGTACATGTTTGCATCAAGTAAGTAATATGTTCTTAAATTCCTTGTATATTACAATTTTGATATTCCACTTCACATGTAAGTACGAGTTGTAATGAATTATTATGATTTTGAAATATAATTATTAACAATATTGTTATTGTATTCATACCAAAATATTTAAGCCAATCAGAACGACTAATAAAAAATACATGAAACAAAGTGATAGACGGTAAATACTAAATAGCCGTTGAAAATAATTTTTAACTAGCCATTGTTATTTTTTTTATATATTTTTTACTCTTTTTATTTTTTATATATTATTATTATTATTATTATTATTATTATTATTATTATTATAGCCATAGCCCGCATAGCCCGTTTAGCTCGAAGCCCGCTAGGGTTAGGGTTAGGTCCTTTTTTTGGTAGCCCGTTTAAATCCGGGCTTTTTAGGCCCGGAACGTTTAACCCGAAGCCCGCTAGGGCTAGCCCGTTTAACATCTCTAAATTTACGTTAACTTTTTGAACAAGCATAATCGTCTAGCATGATTGATTTAATTATTTATTTCTTTTGTTTTATTAGTACTAGTACGAATCCCGTGCAATGCACGGTAAGAGATATTCATTAATAATTTATAAATTAGAAATGTTTATTAAATAATATTTATAAATTAAAATTATGGAACCATATGTAATACAAACTACCTATATTAATTTATTTAAAATGTTATATGAAATTTAAAATTTACAAAATTACATGAAACATGTCTATTTAAACTTAGTATATGCAACCCATATGGTACACAAACTGATAATAAATTATATTATATTCATTTTAAAATATGTGTCATTTTAAAATTTTTATTCAGAAATTCGGTTTGAATACAATGTAGTTCAATAAAATTATTGTTTTGGTAAAACTTTATCATATATTTAAAAATCTATGTGAATAATACGTATAATAGTAATTTAGCTTGTTAGATGGATTACATTTAGTTCAAACCTTCCCATGCTTAGCCAAATATTTTTAAAACCCGTTTGGCTTGACTCGTTTTACATTCTCATTCATTTGTACTGCAATTTAAAGAAATAGCTTTGTTTATTTCAAATTATATATTGGGGGATATGAAAGAATTGTTCAAAGGCGCGTTTGTTGATATTTTGTCCATTTTGACGTTGAAAGAGAGATGTGAAAGTGTTTGATAATTGGAATATCTGACGACGGACAACCCCAAAGGGCAAAGCTCATTCACGTTTAGCTTTTTAGAGACAAAACAACGAGCTGCTTTGCTTTCCTGAAATTCATTCTCTCTTTGAATTTTGAGTTTGAAAGCGATTATTCATTTCCACTCACAATCTCTTCTTTACAATATAATGTGTTCACAGCCAGGACTTAGATACGGATAATACGACATCATTCCATGTTACTTGCAACATATATCCTGAATTAATTGTAAAAGTATTAAGAGCCACGTGGACTTTAGACAATGTGTGTAAAAAAATTCTGAACATTCCAAGTTAATAAGATTATATCTGAATGAAAAATCATGTTTTGCACATGAGTTCATTTTGAAATATGAGCTTTAGACTCAATATGCGCCCATAAAGTTATTTAATAAAACTAATCAAGAGTGGACTCAAACCATTATGAATATTGTTACATAAAACAACTTTTGGATATCTTTTCAAAACTCTTTTATTTTTATTTTTTTTTAAAGTTTAAAAGAATAATCCACTTTAAAGTTCGTTTATCTGTCACATTTTTAGCCAACCCATAGTTGAAAGGAACGAATTTACATTTTTTTAATTATTACAAACGGTCAAACGAAAAGTTGATGAGGTTGTTATAACATTTAGAAGAATAATTGTTTGAGCGTTTAGACATCAAGTGATGGTGGTGATTACAGATTCTGATTAGTAGCTCGAGTGGTACGTTACGCTACAAAAAAATTGTTATATTCAAACGGAAAATTCTATAATAATATATTCCAACGGATATTCCAATGGTATAACTTTCGTTGAATTGATTCTAACGAAAATATTCCGTTAGAATGTATTTTTTATTGAAATTTTAGAAGGAATTTGATGATTCCAACGGCTATGTTTCAGGAATTTCAGTTGGAATATGCAATTTCCGTTGGAATTTTTATTTCCACCACCGTTGGAATCGTCAACATCCAACGTAATGTCCAGTAAGAAACTCATTCCAACGGAATATTTGTGTTGAAATTTTCATTGGAATTATTTCAACGGAAATAATAGCATTGAAATATCCATTGGAATTGTCGTTGGAATTCTATTGGAATATAGTTTCCGTTAGAATTTCATCATTTTCTTGTAGTGTTATAAATAATATGTTATTATTAATTCTCTTCGAACGATTATTATGGTGATGATATATATTCACGAAAGTTAATCAGGTCAAGATTATCATGTTAAAGAGGTAGTTTATCCCTAGAGACTACCTACGAAAGTACAAATGTATACCTCTCTGTAAAAAAAGCTCCCATTTTCTCTCTCGATAAAAAAGGTTAGGAACCCTAATTTCACTACCGCCGCCGCCCCCTTTTTTCCGGTGGGTCACCCCCTGTGGCCACCAGTCCGGCCTTGGCCGAGTTGCGGTTGAGGGCCGCTTTTTCACCTCTCTCGGTTTCTGTGGTTGACGGGCTGAAGGTGGGTTTCACCGCCTTGTCTTCCCCGACACCAGAGGGGTTGCCGGCCGCCATCTCCAGCTCCAGCCGCGGGAGCCTACCATACTGCTGGAGTTCCGTTCTCGCGCGCTTCCGTTCAGTTTCGTGGAGGAAGCCCCTACTCGGTCGCGATTTGCCTTGGTGATGTTGTCCCGCCTGGTCGCCGGTCCGCCTGGTTGGCTGCCAGGTTGCTGGGCCAGGCTGGTTCAATTGCGGGTTGCCTAGGGTGCTCTTCTCAGGTTCTTTGTCTCGAGTCCTCTGGCGTGTTCTTGGTGGTCTCCCTTCCTAGCTCTCCCAAGCGTAGAAGTTCTTCCGAGTTCAGATCTACGCCGAAAATCCGTCTAGGCGGGCTGAGTGACGCAGTTTTCTGGTTTAGAGTTTAGTTCTTGTTGCTTGGCTGATGAGGTTCTTTGTTGTGGTGTGACTCGGTTTGTAATCGGTTTAGGTGGTCGTGGGACTATCTGCTAGGTTTAGGGGATATCTTATCTTCTTTATTTGCTTATTAGGTGTGAGTTGCTTTTGGTTTTTGTTTTGTTGTTTTGTTTCGTTTAGTGCAGCTGTGTCTGTTTTTCTCTCTTTTTTGGAGTTTTGCTTTGTGGTTGTGCCTCCTTGATCCTTGTGTGTGTTGACAAGGGGGGTTGGTCTAGTTTTCTGGTTACAATGTGTTACTTGACACTTCGGGTTTACTCTTTTGAGTTCTTAAGTTATTAATATAATTGTCGTTGGAGAAAAAAGAGGTAGTTTATCTACAATCAAAGTTTAGATTAATGGAAAAAAAATATTTGTCTTAATTTTGTGCAACATGTTGCCTGTTTTTTTTTTAATTTTCATAAACTTTGTTGACAACCGACCTAATTTGTTGGGATTAAGGTGAAGATTAAGTGTAATGGTCCATGAATTGGTATATTTTATTGTCATGTAGCCCAATAAATTTAGTGTGACATTGAAAATGTTTAGAAATCTTTCTAGATATAGAATACTTCTAAACGCCCTATATTATATATTATATTATTTATTAAATATTTCTCTTATAGTAGAGTTGACATTAACTATTGGAGACACAACTTTGTAATTCTCTTTCTCCATGTTATACATCTTCAAATGAACAATATAACATTAGAGATACTCTTAGCATTTTAAAGCTCGAGCTAGTCACCCATACAAGTGGCGTTTAGGTGCTAGACAATCCTTACTATTGTTTAATTAGTTAAGTTTCAAATTACAATAAAAATAGATTTTATTTTTATACGTTGAATACGCAGTAATTAAAAAATTAAAAAATATAATATTTATTTTAAAATGAATATAATAGTCATAAATATATTATATATAAATAAATCTTTATATTTAACTCCACACTACAAAAAAATGACGAAATTCCAATAAAAAAACTCCTCTGGGATCGACTCTTACTTGCCGCTACTACTAGTTAGTAGAGGTTAGCTGAGAAAAAATATAAATTTTGATTTTATCGCGTTGCGACGCGCGGTCATTAGGGCCCATTTCCAAGCATCCAAGTGCACACACACATGCAAACATATATAAAAAATTATATTTAAATATTACCTTTAGCCATAGGCAAATAAATCTATCTCCCTTTTGTTTTTCTCTGAATTGTGACACTATCATTAGGAAAATAGGTAATCCTGTTTGAGGAATAATTATAGTTACGAAGATATGCCATCTTATTGCTTGAGAAGGAAGCCTACAAGTGGACAGGCCATTCATAATAATTTCTTCAAATAAATTGTTTAGCAGATACATTTTATTATTTTTATCGAATCACCATGATACTTCTAATTAATTCACTTGAAGTAGGTGGGAAGAAGTTGCAGCTTTGGTAAATTAAAATCTTTCACTTGTCTTTAGGCTTTTTTTAACATTTTCCGTCCTCTTTGGTTTTTACCTTTATTTCTTTTTGACCTCCGTATATTGATTGGCTTTTACAGTTCTACTTTGCTGGGGATCCTACACTCACAGTACTTCATTTCGGTTTGTTTTTCTATTTTTGTTTTTTAGCTTTACATTCTAATTTCAACTGTATATTCCTTTTTACAAACTGCCTATTAATTTTACACGAATAAAAAATGTTCTTACATCCGATTTTGATTGGCAAAACCACCTTAATTTGGTCATTGCATGTAGCACATTGGCGAGTAATATCACAATTCATGTTTAATATTTGATGGTAAAAAGGTCATTTCCCAAATTATTAGCAGTTCTGAAACTGTTTAATTTACATTTTTTTTTTCTTTTCACAACATGAAAAAATTTATTTATTTTTCTTTTGCATATTATGTAATTTTACTTTAGTGATAGTAAAACACATTATATTTTTTTCTGTAAAGATTTATGACGAGAGATGACAATATTAAATTATAAAATAAAAAATTTTGCTAGAAAACATTAATTTCTCTTAGGTTTAAACATTATCTGCATAATTAGTTCGCTATAATCACGACAAAATATTCAAATAGGTTCACTATATTAATCTTTTTTTAAATTAATCTGTTTGTAATTAATCTTCATCAAATTAATTTGGCACACTATTTTGGTACAGTAATCACAGCAGGCAGGATTCGATGGTGTTGACCGTGATAAAATGTTCCGGCTGCCTATGTGGCATGATACCTAAGAGAATAATCCACAGTCGAGGATTAAAGAATAATCCATACTTTTCCTGTTCCAATTTCCCCAATCACGATTTTAAAACCATCGACTGCCATTCAACTTTAACTGCAACCACAAACAAAATAAATCAACACGAGGAGCTGTAAGATTCGCTGAGGATGATATATAAGAAACCAAAGCAAAAACTATATTGCGTTTACAAAAAACCCAGAGACAGAATAAAATAATTGGGACAAAGGACAGTGCAATTATTACAAAAAACAATAATAATATTTCAATAAATTTTATTAAGAGCTTTAACGGTCAATTTTTATCCCACCAACTAAACTGACCGTTGGCGCGTCCTCTGCAGATTTTATCTTTGACCACCGCCTTTCACTGCCCACGTGTCGTTTTTTTTACCACAGGTATATCTTCATTTTGCAATTCAATTATTCACAAATAGACTAATCAACCAGGAAAGAAAGAAAAAAAAAAGGAGAAANTTTTTTTTTTTCACTTTTGACAAGAATCAAGCTCCGAGGTCCACGTGGCAGATAAGGCTAATAATGAACCGAAACTTTCTCGAATAAAAACTCATTCGGATTTGTTTGTGTTCCATAAGGTAATTCAGCTGAGTTTGAACATAAAATTAGACTCGTTTAACATTCACGTATATTAATTTGACATAATTTTATTGTTTATATTAATTTACACTTGATATTTTTAATAAAATAATCTAAAAAATCAAAATATTATAATTTTACTTTTTATTTCGAGCTCAAATTAGTTTAACCAACCAATTCACTAGTTAATAAAACAATTTAAAAAGATTTTCTTTACAAATACGAATTGACTCGAACATTGGTGAACAATTAAATAAACGAGCCCGACACAAACAAACATTAATATGAACGAATGTTGATGTTAGTAAGGGTATGCAAAATCAAGTCGAAATTGAAAAGCAAAGTCGAACCATGCAATGCGGTGTAGTTTAGTTCATGAAAATTTCTCGATTCGACTTTTTATATAATACGAAATAGTTTGATTATTTTGTAATTTGTACTTCACAAGTTTAGTTTACAAATTTTTTTTTTTTCGTTTTATTTGATTTTGCATAAACCCTACAAAACTAAATATAGATGTATAAAAAAATCAGAACAAAATTGAAAAATCAAGTCCAACCTCACGATGCGGTGCGATGCAGTGCAATTATTTTTGTGTAAGTTGTTTTATTCGGATTCGGTCTGATTGTTGCGGTAATATTATATTGTTTCTTTAAAACTTTAATTTTTTCATTTTGTTGCAATTTGGTGTGATTTTCCATCAAACCGCACTGTTACTCACCTTGAGTATAGCTTAATGATTTAATTGATTAATAGTTTGACGAAATCAAAATATAATACAGTAATATTTATGGTCGTAATAATCTTAATAAGATGGAACATTTTATTCAAATTTTTAGTGAAAACACTTGTTAAAAAAAAAGAACATATTGCAGTATAATATCATTATTGAAAATTAATTTTCAAGAAGAAATTAAGTGGAAAATGTGGACATGGATAATACTTGTTTGGTTTGGTGGGCCTCAATAGACTCATTACTAGGTATGGGTGCAATGCCAAGTTATCTGGGCTGTACCTTCGATCGGGCCGTCTGTAATATATTTCACGAATAACGAAAAGCCTAGTAAATATTTTTTTATTCATTTTTTATTTCAAATCTTGTAAATGATATGTTAATTTTTTGCCAAATCAATTGGTAAACATATTAAATTATTAACTCGTGCGAAGAGAGCAAAATTGTGTAGGGTAACATGTAACAATACATGCATTTCTATTGCTATAATCAGAATCTGAAAATTACAGTGACATGCCATTTGCAAATATAAAAACCCTGATGTGTTCTTTATCCTGCACTATAACAAATATTCCAGACAAACCTGTACAAGTTACCTTAATTTCTTTTTTTTAACTCGAATGATGTATGTTTATGTGACCCGTGTATGCTATACTGTCCGCAGAACTTCATTTTCATCCATGTTCTTAGTTGTCTTGGGCGGGAATTTCATAGCCTTCACACGAAATGCTGCCTGTACAAGTTTTTGAAAATTTAATAAAATTACTGAAAATAAAGCTAAACAAAAGATTTCAAATTGTGCCTGATGAAGACGAGACCGCCCTAGCCTTTCTCGACAAATTCGACCGTCTACGCATCTAGATTATTCTACATATTATATTTCCTATTATTATTTAGTAAGAGATATTTTATTTCCTTAGGAGTGTTTTTATTTAGGAATAAATAAGATAATTATCTTGTTGCACAAGATAATTAGGATTAAGGATTCTCTTTCATATGACTCTATATATTGTCCCTCTCTTATGAAGTTTGATCGATGAACATTGAATAAAATTAAGAACTCTTGAGTTTTCTCTTATATTCCTTTCGTCTACCACGTTGCTGCATCAGTTGGTATCAGCTGTCGGGACGATTCAAGATGCCGCCAAAACGAGACAACGATAGACGGGATGCCCATCTCGAAGATTTGGATCGCCGAACCGACGATCTAGGGTTCCAAATCGACCGGGTGGATCGCCGTGTCGAAGGTCTTGCTGAGGGGATCGAGGAAATCCGACATGCCATGCGCCACTTGATGGCGGACGAGGACACGAGACGCGATGCCCGCGGCCGGGGTAATCGCGGCGGAACACGCGGCGGCCGTGGTGGGAGGGGGCCGTTCGGGTTTCCCCGTTCGCCGTCCCCACGCTCGTCGCGCGGCCGGAGTACGGACAGCGGTCGTACCGCCTCGGACGTCAACCCTTTCGGCGGTCCGAGGAGGCGGCGAGATGTTTCTGTTGGCGAGCGGTCCGATCTCTACGGGCCTGAGGAGGACGCCGATCTCAACGGCCACCGCCGGGGGGGTGGTGACAGCCGCTGGGAGGCGGGTTTCCGGGTGGAGGTGCCAGAGTTCTCGGGCGGGCTCGACGCCAGCGGGTTTCTCGACTGGATCGCTGCGGTTGAGTCGATCTTAGATTTCAAGGAGGTGCCGGAGGATCGTCGTGTTGCATTTATCGCTACCAGGTTACGTGACCACGCGGCTGCGTGGTATAATCAACTTAAGGGTCGGCGGCATCGCATGGGCAAGCCTCAGATCACTTCTTGGGCCAAGTTCCGGAAACATATGGAACGTGAGTTTCTCCCATTTAATTTCACGCGTACTCTTTACCAAAAATTTCAAAATTTACGTCAGGGGCCTAGATCTGTTAACGAATACACGGAGGAGTTTTATCGTCTCCTGACCCGGATTGATGCACGTGAAACGGAGGACCAGCTGATTTCCAAATATATCGGGGGTTTACGTGTATCATATCAGGATGTTCTGAATTTATTTATGCCGGATTTTGTCTCGGACGCCCATCAGCGGGCCCTGATCATTGAACAGCAGCAGGCCCGTCGGGGCTCGGGATTTGTGAATGGCGTTTCGGCTGGCGGCGGTCGTGGGGCTGGCACCGGGCAGGCGGGGTCATCAGCAGTGATCCCCGCCATGGGTCGCGGCGCAGCACATTCGGCGGGTCCGGGCAACGGCGTTCAGCGACCGGCGGCTCGTCCCACCGGCGGGCTTCGATGCTTTGGCTGCGGCGAATTGGGTCACCGGCAGTCCGAATGCCCTCGTGGTTCCACGTCCCGTGCTTTATATACGGAGGAGGGCGACATTTATGACGGGCCTCCCATTTTTGACGAGGAGCCGGAGGTTGTGGAGGAGCATCTTACGGGGGATGTGGGTCATAGTCTCGTTATTAGGCGTTCATGTTTGACCCCTAAGGTGCTCGATGAGGAGGTTGCGGGTCGGCATCAGATTTTTGAGTCCACGTGTACGGTTGGTGATCGTGTGTGCCGTTTCATCATTGATTCCGGCTCATGCGAGAACGTGATTTCCCAGGTGGCCGTGGATAAACTTCACTTACCGAGTGTTGCTCACCCTAGTCCCTATTCTCTTGCTTGGATTCAGAAGAATAACGCAGTCACTGTTGATAGGCGTGTTTTGGTGTCTTTCTCGATTGGACATAAGTATCGGGATGAGAATTGGTGTGACGTGGTCCCGATGGACGCATGTCACTTGCTTTTGGGTCGACCTTGGCAGTACGATCGGGCTGCCACGCATGACGGTCGTCTTAATACCTATAGCTTCATGTTTGGCGGGGTTCGTATAGTCTTACATCCGGGACCGGCGCGTCCGGCGGCGAGCCCTTCGATTGGCCCGTCTTCTTCACCGGTGCTTTTTCTTTCCCGCTCGGCGTTCGAGGCAGAGATGCGGTCCGACCCCACGATCCTATTGTTGATGGCCACAGATGTGCTACAGGACCGTGAGCCGCCTCACGCCGTTCGACCTTTATTGGAAGAGTTTGCTGATGTGTTCCCGGATGAGCTGCCAGCTGGGCTGCCCCCGCTTCGGGATATCCAGCACCATATCGATCTGGTACCGGGCGCGTCGTTGCCCAACTGACCACACTACCGGATGAGTCCAATGGAACATGAGGAGTTGCGTCGACAGGTAGAGGAGCTCCTTCAACGTGGAGTCGTACGCAGGAGCATGAGTCCTTGTGCAGTTCCAGCTTTGTTGATCCCCAAGAAGGAGGGGACTTGGCGTATGTGTGTGGACAGTCGGGCTATTAATAAAATTACGGTACGTTATCGTTTCCCGATTCCTCGCTTAGATGATTTGCTGGACCAGCTTCATGGGGCTACTATTTTCACGAAGCTCGATCTTCGTAGCGGGTATCATCAGATTCGTATCCGTCCCGGCGACGAGTGGAAGACGGCCTTCAAAATCCGTGAGGGTCTTTTTGAGTGGCTGGTGATGCCCTTCGGCCTTTCTAACGCGCCCAGTACTTTCATGCGCGTGATGAACCAGGCCCTCCGTGATCTCATTGGCACATGCGTCGTCGTTTATTTCGACGATATTCTCATTTATAGTCGGACACTGGAGGAGCACTTGGAGCATGTTCGGGCTGTTTTATGTATTCTTCGGGCTGAGTCCTTCTTTGCTGCGCCGAAAAAGTGCTCCTTCTTGGTGGAGTCGGTGCTTTTTTTGGGGTTCTTCATCTCGGGCGATGGTATTCGGGTCGATGAGTCGAAGGTCTCGGCGATTCGTGAATGGCCTACACCGACGACGTTCACGGAGGCGCGTAGCTTTCATGGACTGGCGTCGTTTTATCGTCGGTTCATCTCTCACTTCAGCTCCATCGTCGCGCCAATCACGGATTGCCTTACGGGGAAGGTGTTTACATGGACCCCGGCGGCCGCGACGGCTTTTGACGTGATTAAGGAGAAGCTCACGTCTGCGCCCGTTTTGGTTCTCCCGGATTTTGGTCGGCCTTTTGAGTTGTCTTGTGACGCTTCGAAGGTCGGGATTGGGGCTGTTCTCAGTCAGGATGGTCGCCCGGTTTCCTTTTTCAGTGAGAAGCTTTCGGGACCTCGTAGTCGTTACAGCACCTACGATGTGGAGTTTTATGCGATCGTACGTGCGGTTCGACATTGGCGCCACTATTTGTTCCATCGTGAGTTCATGCTTTACTCCGACCATGAGGCATTGCGTCACCTTGCTTCGCAGGATAATATCTCTTCCCGCCATGCCTCGTGGGCTGCCTTCTTGCAGCAGTTCACTTTTGTGCTCCGTCATCGTTCTGGGTCATCTAATCGGGTTGCTGATGCATTGAGTCGTCGGGCCCTTCTTCTAACGGACATGCGTGTCTCGGTGGTGGGCTTTGATGTATTGCGCGAGGCTTATGCCGATGATCCATTTTTTGGCCCGATTCTTCGTTCCTTGCGCGACGGTCCCATTCCGGACTACACTTCGTGGAGTTCGTTTGTGCATTCCTGATGTCAGCCTTCGGCTGAAGCTCATTGGCGACCTCCATGGAGCGGGCCATGTGGGCCGGGATCGTTCGGTCGAGCTGGTGAGCCGCTCGTATTTTTGGCCTAGTCTTCGCCGTGATGTCTCTCGTTATGTGGCTCGTTGTCGGGTGTGCCAGGTGTCCAAGGGTGTGGCGAATAATGCTGGGTTATATAGACCGCTTCCGATCCCGTCCCGCCCTTGGCATTCTATCAGCATGGATTTCGTCTTGGGGTTACCACGCACACAGCGTCAGGTGGATTCTATTTTTGTCGTAGTGGATCGCTTCTCGAAGATGGTCCATTTCATTCCGTGCAAGCGGACTTCGGATGCTGTTCACGTGGCTCTCCTCTTCTTCCGTGAGGTTTATCGCTTGCATGGGTTGCCTTCTTCGATTGTGTCCGATCGTGATACGCGTTTTTTGAGCCATTTCTGGAGAAGCTTGTGGCGTATGGCCAATACCCGGCTCGATTTCAGCAGCGCATATCACCCGCAGACTGACGGCCAGACGGAGGTGGTTAACCGTTCATTGGGTAATCTGCTGCGTTGCTTAGTGGGAGACAATGTACGCACATGGGATCAGCGGTTAGCACAGGCTGAGTTTGCTCACAACTCTGTCGTCAATCGTTCTACGGGTTTTTCTCCTTTTCAGGTGGTGTATGCTGTCAGTCCCCGTGGGCCTTCTGATTTGATCTCTTTGCCTCAGCATGGGGACGGCGATAGGCGCGCCGCCGAGCTCATTTCCGATTTACAGGCCACGCATGCGCGGGCCCGGGACCAGCTCGAGGCATCGACGGCCGCATATAAGCGGCGGGCGGACTTGCGACGGCGCCACGTGGAATTTGACGTGGGCGACTATGTTTGGGCGGTATTGACTAAGGACCGATTCACGAGCCATGAGTACAGCAAGTTGTCGGCAAGGAAGATAGGACCGGTCGAGGTGATTGAGAAGATTAATCCAAATGCTTATCGTTTGCGGCTTCCTTCCCATATTCGCACACATGACGTTTTTAACGTCAAGCATCTGGTTCCCTTTGCGGGGGACAACTCGGAGGAAGACGAGGCCCATTCGGATTCGAGGCCGAATCCTTCCCAACCGGGAGAGGATGATGAAGACGAGACCGCCCTAGCCTTTCTCGACAAATTCGACCGTCTACTCATCTAGATTATTCTACATATTATATTTCCTATTATTATTTAGTAAGAGATATTTTATTTCCTTAGGAGTGTTTTTATTTAGGAATAAATAAGATAATTATCTTGTTGCACAAGATAATTAGGATTAAGGATTCTCTTTCATAGGACTCTATATATTGTCCCTCTCTTATGAAGTTTGATCGATGAACATTGAATAAAATTAAGAACTCTTGAGTTTTCTCTTATATTCCTTTCGTCTACCACGTTGCTGCATCAGTGCCCCATAAGTTTCACCTTATTGCAAGAACCACCCCTCAGTTTGAAGTTACTAGCACTACTCAAAAGTGTTACAAACAACTTATAAGGATTTAACTAATGACTTGGAAAGAAATAATATTGAGGGGAAGGCATAATTTTGGACAATAACTAATGTTTTTTTTTTCTTTTTGTTTCTTAATTAGACCAAAATTTGGTTAAGAAAGCTTGAGAAGACAAAATATGGAACAGAATCAATGCAACAAATGAAATATATTTGACTTAGTTGAAATGGATATTCAGTTGAAGATGACGAGGCAAAATCAAACCTTCTTATCCGACCCAAATTCAATGGTATCCGTAGGGTGAAAACGGGTAGGGAGATTGGGGGTTACACGATGCCTTCTGCCTTCATTACTGCAAAAGCACGATCCATTTATAAGGCAATGTCATAGATAATGATAAAAATAAAAATAAAAAGCATTT